TTCACTTTTCTATGAATAGAGGCATGAGCAGTATTCTTCTCAGTTTTCTCAGGATTTTGAGCAGGTTTTGAGACAGCAGGTTTAGAGACAGCAGGTTTAGAGGCAGCAGATTCAGCTGCTTGAGCATATGTTTTCTTCTGATTCAAAGAAGGAGAAGAAGAAGAAGTAGAAAAGAAAGAAGAGCAAACTGAAGAGTCAGTGATTGTATTAGAAATTTTCAAAGTTTTTTGAACTGTGTTTGAAATTCCAAGTTTGAACTTGATCACTTCCTGTAGTTGTCTAGCCTGAGCATGAAGAATTAACAGAACTTCTTCATTCATCTCACTCAGACACTGCTTTTCAAGAATTTTACTTGCTTTTTCAAGTTCCTGTATTTCAAGAACTTGTTGTTTCTCTATCTCTTCTTTCTTTCTTCTCTTCAGAATTTCAATCTCAGGAATAGCATTTGAGAAAGCATCTTTTTTCACATCAACTGAGTGTACTTTTGAACTCATTGTTCTTACTCAATGAAAAGTTGGTCAGACTAATTCAATTGAGATATTTATTAAACTCTTTTGAATTGAAAAGTTGGTCAGACTGTTTCAATTAAGAGGTTTCTAAGTCTGTTTTCAATTGAAAAGTTGGTCAGACTATTTCAAAAGAAGAATCACAGACTTTTGTGTATAAAACACCTGATTTTTTTCACACTAGTTCAGTAACTAGGTTAGATTTTTGAAGAGAATCTAATAAACTAAAATTGATTTTTAAGATAAATCAATAAAATCTTTACAATCTCTTTCTTGGGATACAGTGAGGAAAAGTATGATATCAATTGATAGTAAATCAGATGATATGACAGTTTCTGAGAGAAAAACTGACAAAAAATAAATCAATTTTTTGAAGAGAAATTGATTAAAACTATTCAATTTTATTCTAAATTATTCAATTCTTCTCACACAACAGGTGTGCAACTCAAATCAGTTAATAAAGAGTGTAAAAAAGAATTAAGTATTAATGAAAGCTCTTCAGCCACTGAAAAAGTAATTCTTACTTAAAAGAATATGAAATTATGACAGAAAACAACTCTGTTTTTAATTCTTTATAAGAATATTGTGTAAAACCCAGAGAAAAACACCTTACTTTTTTAAGAGAAGTAAAAAACTATTTCTAAAATCTTTTTTTTGCATTAACTGCTGCAGAAGAATGAGATAGAAACTGCTAAGATATGCACTACTGTATACCCTCTATCAAGACTTTCCCTCTTCAGAGTCTTGATATTATAGAGAATATAAGTCTGTTTCTATATGATAATATAAATATTGTCAGCGGAATGTAGAGGAACTGGTTATTTATATCTTAAAATAGAAGACTTTGTCAATGATTATATCAATATAGAGTTAATTCTCAAATTCAATAGAAATCTAGTGTTGCTGTTCTCAATCCCTTGCAGAATCTATTGAATATTGAGGTATTAAAACTAGATTTAATATATCTCACTGTGCAGGGATCAAAGGCTCAGTCAGACCTTGGGGTATACTGATTTTATAGTTGTCGTGTCTGCCGATTATGTATTGAGTACAGTTGCTGAGGTATCTTTTTGTACTTTTCTGTCGGGGATGGGCCAGATTGAGAGAGGTGGTACGAGGGCGAGACTTGGCGTTGATGTTCAGATACACTGAAGACAGACCACGGAGGTTGCACTTCAGAAGTGGCCGTTGATTATGTGCTTGATATTATCGCCGAGGTATCTTTTTGTATTTTTCTGCCGGGGATGGGCCAGATTAGGAAGGGCGGTACAACAGAGGGACTTGGTGTTGGTGTTTTGGAACATCAAAGATGGACAGGGTTTTCGCGGAGATCACTCCTCAGATATCTCCACAACTACAGATCGGGGATCTTCCAAAATCGAGAAGATTGGTGCATATGGCTAGGTCTCTTCACCTTACAATTTGTATGGCACTTTGGCCCGGGGTTGTGGTGTGGTAGGGGAGAACGGGGGATACTCCCACACAGGAGTTTTGAACAACGTCCGGTTCACGTTTGGCTGGATAACTCCACCACCACACAGGGTATGCGGTCGGCGATGGGGTCAGAATGCTCGTATGATCGAGGGCTTTTCGATGGATCTATCGGCGGGTTCTTATTCGAAAAATCGAGCGAGTTCGTGGTGGAGCGGTTGCTATTATTAGTTACTTAGAAGAAGTCTTATTAGTCTTTTTCTCAGAGAATTGATTATTTAAATAGATTCAGAAAGTCAGATTGACAAGCTCAGTGTAATTAGTTAATAAACTCTGATATTATAATATTATTATCTGCATCTTATGAGTCAGCTTCATGAGATAAAGCTGTGTTTTTAATTGATTCAAATCATCAGTCAATTTCTCTCAATATTCTTTAACTCTTGTATTAAAATCAGAAGAATTCTTATTATCTTATTAATATAATGAGTTGAACTGCTGCATTACTGTAAAGTTATAATTATAATAATTTTTGATTTGATTCAGTAGAAAGTTCTTGAATTCTTCTTAAGTTATAACAGTATTGATACACTCAAGCTCTCTTTTCTTAATAACTCAAGTAGTTGCAGAGATATCTTCAAGAAGGTTGACAGTGTATATTACTCATATCTTATAAGTATTATACTGACTCAGATTAAGGTGGAATTTTCATTTAAGAGTATAGATAAAGCTGTGAAATTCAGACAAGATGTTTTTCTTATATCTCAGAGAATCTCTGATCTTAATCTCTCTATCTTTATAATAGATGTAGATGTGTAGAGGCTGCAGCAGTGATAGAGCAGTTGAAGAGCTTATATTAAAATATACAGTGAGTTTAGAAATCTCAGATTTCTACTGAGATAGAGATGTATACACTCTAGAGAATAATGTAGTGTTTCTCTCAGAGAGTGAGGTCAGATCAGTCTCAGTATAAGTATATAAGATTATATCAGTTTATTAAAGCTTAACTAATTCAAATATATAATTAGATTAAGTGATTTGAATTGTAATATGATGAAACTGAAGCAGTGACTAGTCAGTAGTATTATATAGAGATAGTTGTTTAAGAAGCTGTATAAGTGAGCTTGACTATCTTACTTAAATAGTGAGCTTATAGACTACAGAGTTATTGCAAGAATATCACAGATATAATACTTAGTATACTAAGAAGATTGTATAAGATATGCAGTAACTCTCATATATATTTCAGTAGAAGAAAAAATGAATTACTGACTTCTTTTATAAGAAGTCAGCATCTAGCTATTCTATATAGATAATAAGTGAATACTCTTCTCTTATTTCATGAGTGAGAATAGCTGAAGTGATATCTCAGCAGTGTCTCATTACTAAGAAAAAGTAATCTGCTAATCTTATATAAAAGCAGAGTTCTTATATTCATCAATCAGATCTTTCTATAATATATCTGAATGATATCATAGAGTGATTGAAAACCGGTTCAGATGAGATGAAATTATTCACATGAAAGTGATGAGCTGTGTGAAACTGCAGCAGGGCCTTGACGCGTCTGAGAGTATGATAATATCACAGAAACATCTACTCTGATAAATTTCTTCAGAATAATAGATCTGTATCAGTCTATTCTCTAGTATCTATCATTCAACTTCATGATACAGGTAAAAGATATCTGTGTTTTCAGAAATGAGAATGTGAATATCATACTCTTTTACACTCATAGATGTGAGGCTTGTACATCTTGTCTGAGATGTTATTGTGAGAATGAGTTATTCATACACTGTGTTCTGCTTTCTGCATTCTCTCATGTCTCTCTCTCTCTTTCTGAGAAGTCTCATGTGTGTTGTAATTGCATGTACAATTCTAAGATCTGTGAGTGTTTATTCAGTAATTATTATTTCTGCTTTTATAATTTTATATACTAACAATGATTCTTAGTTACTTCAGTATCAGAGATCATTTTAATTGAAGATGATAATGCTGCTGAGACTATTCTCTTCTACTCTTAAGCTTCTTCTATTGCTTTCTCTCTCTTCTTTGCAGAGAAGATTATATACACACTGAGTTATAAGTATTCAGTCTTGAGTGACTTCTGTCATTATTTATTCAGTTCTACATCTTCTTCTTCAGTTTCTTCTGTCTTTACTTTCTCTGTTCTGGCTTCTGATTCTGTGAGTCTTATACTCTTCTTCAATTTCTCTATGTGTATATGTACACATTTCTATATTAGTATTTCAGTCAAACTTGTAATAAATGACATTAATATCATACACAGAGTGATAGAGAAATCAGAGACATGTACAGTGTTATTATAAGAGTAGCTTACAGCTCTCAAATTTCTTACAGATCTTGAGTTTTAAGATTTTCTTTGTTTTTGATATTTTTTGAGTGATATGATGTTGGAAATAGATTAAATATGTAACATATAAAAATAAATGAAATATGTATGATAATATTTATCTTTTACAGCTGACTCTTACAGTTGATAATTAATTCATTTCTCTTTTCTTACACTTTTTCTTTGTCTGCTAGTTACTACTCTTACATAATCTCTATATAATAGAGTGTTCAGTGACTAGATTCAGCAGCTTTCATCTTTTATAATTCTGTCTCACACATTATACTGTCTCTCTTCACCTGCTCAGACTACTACAGTAAACAGCTCATTGAAACTAATCTCATCTAATCTCTGAGTGTTCTCAGAGATTGAGATAGCTTGATCTCATGTTCATAGATGTTTCAGATAGTTCATTCTCTGTAATCTTCATAATTGAACTGATGTAAACAGTTAAATTCAACTCTGAATTTCTTTTTCTTCTATAATCTGATTCATATACATGTCTGTCACTTTGAGACTGCTCTTTACTGTATTATGTCTGCTATCTGTGATGTGTTATTATATAATCAGCTACAGTTTTATCACTTATTGAAGTGTGATATTTATCTGATTTCTTCATTACTTCTCATTCTTTTCTTATAATTATGAAAAGATCAGAATAAGTGAGATCATCTGATTTATAAGTATCTATAATTTCTCTTACTTCATGAGACTTTTCAATTATAAGTCTCTTCTTTTTCAATATTGATGATAGTGCTGTGAATGATTATAATTCACTCAGATCTTACATCTTTACTTTCATAAGTCATGAATTATTAATTAAGTTATCTAAGATCTGTCTCTCTGATTCTTTCAATGTGTATGTTCTCAGAGAATGTGATTTGAGTATTTTATATAACTCAAATTATCTAGATTGAAACTTCTTAGAACTCTTATTGTATATGAGAACTTACATTCTTATCTTAAGACTCAATTTCTTAACTAGTGAGTCTTGTATTCTTTTCAATTGAATTGCTCAGTTCAGAAGTAACTCATTAGCTTTTATGTGTGTGTGACTGATCTCTTTTACTCTTGATTCTGTGTCTGCAACTGTTGTGTCTGCAACTGCTACTGCTGCATCTGTAACTACTGTTTCTGCTGTGTCTGTAACTACTATTCTCTTTCTCATCTTTTCTGAAGCATTCTTTAGAATGTGTGAATACAATTCATACAACAGATAGAATGATGAATACTTGAAGACTGCATACTGTTAAATTCATGTGATTAATAGTGTCTGTCTGAGATATTCATCTCATAGTCTTATAGACTTGCTCACTAGATATTTCATCAGTATATTACTCAAGATTTCATTTAAGTGTTCTATCTTTCTGTTTATCTGTGAATAATATAACATTGTTCTATGATGTCTTATCTGTAACTGATTCATGAAATGTCTCACTACTTCTTTTATGAGATTCATACTATTATCAGTTAGAATCTCACACAGCATTTCATAGTTGATATAGATCTCATTATATAGAAACTTCACTACTATCTTCTCTATCATCTCTGAAACTGCTTTCACAACTGGTCAGTCAGTAGTATAATCAATAGCAGTGATTATTCATTGATTTTCATTTGATGTTTGCAGTAATATATCTATGAGATTCATCTCTCATTGTTTGAATAGTTGTATTATACACTTCATCTCATGTTGTACTTTCTTATATTCTAATTCTTTCTTAGATTCTTTTATAATCTGATAATTCAGACACTTGTAAGTATACATCTGAATGTTCTCAGTCATACTTGATCAGTATGCTCTTGATTTAAGTACACTCATGAGTTCAGAGCTTTCTAAGTGACTGAATTTCTTATACATGTGAGCTATCAAGTCATGTTTAAATAAAGATTCTAAATAGAGAGCTTCTGTATATTCTAGATTGCAGTAAAGCATAACATTGTTTTTCAATTTTCTCAGCTTAAAGTTTGAAAGCATCTCTTCTACTACTCTCATGAGATACTTATCATCTGACATCTTGTCATTCTTCAAGTGAGAGATCATGATATTCACTCATTCTGATTTCTTATACTCTCTCAGTATATTTAGTATGAACTTCTCTTATATCTGATTCACAGAACTCTCACTTATGAAATCAGATCTGTGACTGATTATATCAGATATTACAGTGTCTGATCTCTTTTAGTAATTAATATAAAGATTGTACACTTGAAACTCTGAGATTCAATATACTAAGTGTTTGAAAGATTTTATTATTAATTGTAGATAGATAAGACTTTCATGATCTGTGATCACTGTTATTATATGTCTATTGTTAATATATCTATCTTATAATATCAGTATATGCTTGATCACTAGTAATTTCTTTTTGTACACTGAATAATTGAGCTTAATATTTAATAGTTTTCTATCATTGTATATCACTGAGTGCAGCTTGCTGTTCTTACTCATCTGTAGAAGAGTGTCTCTGATAGCTCATTCAGATATGTTCATCTCAATGTAGAAAGATTTATCATAATCTGATTAAATAAGTACTGAGAATGTTATTACACATTCTCTCAGTGTGAGAAAAGTCTCTTTATACACAGTATTTCAAATAATTGAATAAAACTTCTTCTTTTACAGATTTGCATCTATTTCTCTTAAGAGATCTGAGAGTGATGCAGATATTTATATGAAATTCTTGATAAATCTGCAGTAATATAAGATTAACTTAAGAAACTGTTATATATAATATATATTTCTCAGTCATGACTAATTCACTATAATATTCAATTTCTCTGAAATGAGATGTATATAGTCATTACTCACTACATATTCTATGAACTTCAACTCTTTCATTTCAAATACACACTTTGTTGATTTCATATAGAGCTTATACTCTGTCA